CATTACAAGAGTGTGGGAAGAGTTTATAAAACCTTAAAATATATATAAATACTAAAATTAAAATAACGTCCCTACTTAGCGGATTTTCACTTATGGCGGGGGAGGGGGTGTCCGGAATGTAAACCCCCACGATAAACGAGGGGCTACTGTATTCTCTCTTATTTTTGCTGTACAGGAGTATTATAGTATTATAGTATTATAGTATTAACAGTAGTTACCTGAATGCCTCTCGCAGTTAAATGCTGAAAAAGAGCTTTCCTCATCAGCAAACTGCAAGACAAGAATAAACATCCATCAGCAAAAAGAAGCAGCTTGTAGAAAACTCACCAAGAGTGGGACGTTTCCACAGCACGGACAGAATAATAACGGCCAAGCTTTGGCTTTGTGTGCATTTTTTATTTCCCCTAGATATTAGGATTAGCAGAACGTAATTTCTGAGCCATTAGAAGTTAAATACATAAATACTGATGTTATTTAAAACAAAAAATAAAACAAAATCTAATTGTGCTGAATAAGGACAGCCGGATTAAAACAAACGACCTCAACATTAGGATGCAGCCTCTCAGGAGCTTAACGGACGAATTATAATCTAACTTTCACAAAGTACTCACTGGATGCACTGAGGAGTCAACTAGACTCAAGATGGCCGCCTCAGCTCATCAACCTCAGTCAACACAAAAATGTCTGTCAGTCTGTCACTTTTATGGATACGGAGCTAAAATCTGGTGTGATAGTAGCCGACAGTCATCCCAATCAAATACCGTACTCTGAGCTTCCATTTCTTAAAATTATAAAAAGACCACTTTAAAAACATCTAAACAATGCAGATTTTTTGTGTGTAAAGCTGTCAGTAATAATAAAAAAAAGTAATAAAATAAAAACCAACACAAAATAACAAGATTCAGAATAAAACTTTAGAAAGAGGCTGTGTGTTTTGGTGAATGTAAAACGTACGTGTCTGCGAGCCAGGCGATAAATCGTTGACTCCTCGACAATCGGTCAGGATCCTTTAATCTATAAAATCAGACAAAAAGTCAAACATTTCAGGTGCAAACAAACACACGAAGCAGTCTAAATATATAACCCACAACCAGTGGATAAAACCAGTCAAAATAATCCTGACGTTCTGCATACACATGAAGCAAACCTTTAAAAAGCAACTTTCAGTGTTAAAACTTGTTGAGCATTTAGGGAACAAACTAAGTGAAGAGAGGTCAACAGAAAAAGCACCGACGCAGAAGTTTCACCAACGTGCACTGGTTCATAAAAAATGAAGCATCAGAGGATTCAACAAGCTGAAATATCTCAGCACACTCAATAAACATGCTCCAGTCTTCCTCCAGCCTTACAGTGTGAGACTTGGGTCATGCAGGAACGTGCACGGGTGCAGACACAACATGGAGCTTTTCCAACAGCTAATCTTATTCTAAGCTGTTTGCAGTGAAACGTCTAGTTAACAGAGAAAAATAACTGTTCAGCTGTTTCACAAATTGTTCACTGCATCAAACATAAAATCATCTGTTTATCTTTTTACTGACAAAAAGAGACTCAAAGTGTAGCTTAAAAAGAGCAGCACTGTCAGCTGATAAATAATTAGCAAATCAAAGTGGTACACGTGACATTTTAAGCTTTTAATGTCATCCTAACACACGGGTGTCCAAAACGCGGTCTGAGGGCCATTTGCGGCCCTTGCAGTGATTTGGTGCGGCCCACATCTGCAGTTTAAGAATTGTATCAATTTGACCAGCAGACTCCAGAGGTCGATGCAGACTTTCTGCAAATTAGTTGCTAATCCTTTTTTTTTAATTTCATGTTTAGATTAACGGATGAAAAACAATCTTCTCAAAATGAGCAAGATTATGTAAAATACAAACCTTTGACTATAATCTTGTTGTTTTCACTTCATGGTACAAAGCACCAAAAACTTTTACTGATTTCTACCAGAAAGGAGATGTTTAAATAAAGATTCATAAAACTTGTCTAAATATTGCAGTTGATAAAATAATCACGACGGATAGTGAACATTTTTAAGTTAATACAACATGGTATCATCTGCATACAAAAAAAATATCTAGCTGTATTTTATTATTATTTTTGCTACTTTTTCATTTTGACTGTCCTTTTGGTTGCGATTTTATTTTATTTTGTAAAAAAAGGAACAAATCTGTATGCCTCTTTTATGATTGTCTATTGTTGTCATCACTCTGTTAAGAAATCAGGTCTCTTGTAAATGAGTCCCCGAGGCTCAATGGGATTAACCTGTATCAATAAAGGTTGAATGAATACGAGTTGATCAACTTCATCAAACCTTCTATGAATCTGTTGTAGCGACTGACAGCTGGATGATTTTTCAGAACTTTGATCAGCCTTTAGGGCCGTCCATGGTCCAAAAGGCTGAAGGACCCCTTTAAAATGGACACTTACTCAAATTATGCTTCAGTTGCTGAGAACAGACTAAAATGAACTTTACAAACACAAGAAAACAACAAACATAGACCCAACAAATAATAAAAAATATAAGTTTAGAGTTTGAGGCTTTTAAAGTTTTGGATCTACAACAATTTAAAACTCTTTCTCCACCAAAAATTAGTAAATTTGTCCTTTCTCCAAAATATTGTTCACTTTGAGAGTTAAATTCACATTGTTTGGCCCATGAGTCCTTTCATCCGGGTAGTTTTGGCCCACATGTGAAAGCGTTTGGACACCCCATGACCTAAAGAACCCTGTTACGCCGTTCGTGTAGAAAATATTTAGTATTCAGCTCAGGTCCTGTTCGAGGGACAGAAAGAAGAAACAAAGATGTAATTACTGTAAGACAGCTGCTCACATCTGTACTGGCAACAGAAAGATGGCTGACTCACTCTGCCCGGCCTAATCTGACCACCCCGGTGTTTACATGAGCGCTAAAAGGCATTGGGTAGTATTTGCATCACTTACTTGGTCATAATAGAGGGCATGGGGATCTCCAGAAACTGCTCCTTGAGGGGAACAAAGGGCAGGAGGCCTGTGTAGAAGAGACCCAACAGCTGCAGGACTCTGGGAAAGCTGAACAGAACTGGAATTTGGGAGTTCTGCCAACAAAAATAAACAAAACAGTTCAAAGTTTGAAGTCACTCTGAATACATGAAATAAACGACATGATTACATATAATGTGTCTGTTTTCAGTCTCTTCTAAACAGAGGATAAAAACACAATTAGTTCTGTAGTTCAGTGTTTCTGTAGAGGTCGACTGCCAGTACTGCATGTGACAAGACCAACTTAAAAACGATTTACAGTAGTCCCTCGATACTTCGAGGTTTGTTTTTCACAGACTCGCTCTATCGCTGTTTTTCAAAGTAAGAGTGGACATGACACACAGTTGGCTGATTGATGGATGAGCCGCACAATAGGCATGACATTTTTATTTTAAATAAATTATTTTAAATGATTTAGCACCTGCTGCACCTTTGTGCAGCCCACACTGCAGGAGAAACGTTCTGCAGCAGCTGATCAGCTGATCTCCTGCAGAGCGGAGAAGTGGGCGTGGCTGAGAGCGCTTGCAGGTGGCACAGAACAGCTGAGTCAGAGAGAACTGAAATCATGACATTCTGTGCTCTTTTAGAGCGTTTAGAAATATTGTTTAGAATATTGTAAGAGTGTGGGAAGAGTTTAAAACACTTTTATATATACACAGTATATATAAATACTAAAATAAACTACTACTTACTACTTGTACTACTATTCCTACTTGCGGTTTTTCACTTATCGTGGGGCTTCAGCATGCAAACACTGCTGTGTTCATTCATACTCATCTGCTCACACAGACTCATGTTCGTGCTGCTGTTTGGCATCTTGTTTTTGTACTAGTGCTTAGTGTATTTTTAGTTAATGTTTTTCTTAGATCATATCTTAGATCTTATTACCGTTTTTCTTTTATAATTTATACTTTGGTTGGATGTAACTGGGACTCTGTGTACAAATAAAGAAACTTTGACTTCAGGGTACGGATCCCCAGTGATAAACGAGGGACTACTGTATAATAACTTCTTTGTTGGTAGGTGAAATAACATAAAAACTTTATACGGATATGAAGAAAAAATGATTTATGAAGATAATAAAAACAAACAAAAATGCAGTAATATTTAAGTGCTGTACAAATGCAAAACAAAATGAAGACGGTGATGAGTTTATATGAGGATGAAGTTAGTATAATTACCTCTTTGTAGCACTTTTTGACAATCTGACTTCTGGAGTTGCCCCACACGGTCAGATGCTCTCTGTCATACTTAACAACCAGCTCAGAAACCTGCAAAGAATTTAAATGTTTGAACATAAAACTCTTCAGTTTCATAGCTGAACGATGGTAAACTTTATAAATGATCATTTCAACCAGTGCAGTTTAATCTGATCATTCAACTTTGAGTCCAGTTAAATGAACTAAAGTACAAAAACTGTGTGATTTACTGTACGCGTGTTTCTCTACATTTTCAACCCAATACTTATACATCCATCATCTTTACTCATTTCTTCCATTTTGGGTCACGGGGGTCACTGGTGCCCATATCCAGCAGTCACTGTGTGAGAGGTGGGGGACACCCTGGACAGGTCTCCAGTCCATCACAGGGACACATAGAGACAAATGAGACAAACAACCATTCACTCTCTCACTCACACCTAGAGACAATTTAGAGTTACCAATCAGCCTAACATGCATGTTTTTGATCTGTGGGAGGAAACTGGAGTAACTGGAGAAAAGCCACGCATGCACGGAAAGAACATGCAAACTCCACCCAGAAAGGTCCCCGGGATTTGAACGCTAACCTTTACTCTGAGAGGCAGCAGCTCTACCAGTTGCATCACCGAGCTGCCCAATCGTTAAAAATGACAGTGCTGAAAAGAGCAGTGTTCAGAAACACGACACACACCTTCTTGATGAGTGTATCATTGTTGACCTTGATGTCGATGTTGACGGGGGTGTTGGGGAAGGCGTCAAAAATGTCCCTGAGGAGCGGCATACGCTTGTCCTCACCCCCCTCGCAGAAACACTCTGCGCACGAAGCATATAAAACATCAGATTACACTGAAAGACACTTTCCAAGGTTATGCACGATTAATGTCTTACCTGTTGTGGATAGCTCTTTGAACATCCTTTTAAGGGAAGAGACATTAGTTCTGATCAGTTTGATGAGCTAAAGGCTAGTCCGAGTAGCACCAAGATTCAACCAAATACTATTTTATAAACCTTTACAGCCAGTTTGACATTATATTATACTGTGCCGCAGACTGAGCAGGAAGCTGCTTTTATTCTTTGCACAATAACCACACAAGTCTATGTAAATAAACATATTGTGAAACTGTGTAAAGATTGGTAAGAGTGCATAAACCGCTTACAAATCTTTGAGACTGAAGTAGTTTTAAGATGGCGGCAGTGCACTCCGCTCAGACTGTTAGCTCGTCAAACTGAATTAAACCATTCCTTCAAATTCAGATTGTACGAAGAGCTATCTAGAACAGGTGAGATAGTAACTGTTAATAACCTTTCAACATACCTTCCCTTCAAATAACTAAACTGTTGCTTTAAAGCACACGGGCCAAGTGGATTATTCATTTCAGCTGCAGCTTGATGCTAAACAGCAGCTTTTATGTACGAGATTTGTAAAGTTAGCCGTCGGTTACGCCACTGAGGTGATTCCAGACGTTACTGAAACCCTGGATCTGTGATGCTTACCCTTTTGAAAGGTCACTCCCAGCTTGCAGAGGTATGGAGGGAGTTCCTGCAAAGAGCACACGGCAGTCAGCTCAGTTCAGAGCACCAACGATCACTTCTGAGATAAAGTGATGGATTAACAACAGTACAGAGATCTCATCCAGTTTATGAATAAACAAGGTTAGTGAGCTCCATGGGACCAAGGAGCTCACTAGTAAATATCACTTATATTTGTGACCTTTGAACTTCTCAGCAAAACATAAATCAATCAAATTAAAAAAAAAAAGTCTGCTGGTTCACATTAAACCACTAGATGTGAGGGTAACTCTCACAAGACATAATCAGGTGGATCAGTGTGCACCTCAGTTGACACATGATCACACGATCAATCTCCTGTGGTGTTTGGGATAAAGATCTACAGCTGTAGGTCTAAAACCTTTATGAAATATGGTCTGATTAAAACCCAAGTGTCTTGTGTCAACATGCAATCTGTAACAAGCTAAATGAAGGCAGCTAACCCAAACATGTAGAATGGATGGTCAGAAAACAGTCGGGATGTAGCGACTCACAGCGTAGGACATGTCGCTGATGTTGGCGTTGATGCCGCAGACCCTCTGCAGGTTGGCATCATGTGAAACCACGACCTGCTCGTCTTTTGTCAGGTGGCAGTCCAACTCCAGCATGTCGGTGCCGACGTCCACAGCACTGCAGGAACCAACACAGTGCACTCACTGTACTCAGCCACACAGGAGACGTTTCGGTGTTCAGTGCATGGCGTGCAAAAGTCCTGAGTCACCACTCGTTTTATTACACTCTGCTTCCAGTGTCATAGACTTTGGGGTAATTTAAACATTTTCTTTGGACTTTGGCTTCTTTTTCACTCGTGTTCTGTTCAGTCTGGGACCATTTTCAGTCTTTTACCACTGAACAACGCACTCACACATAAAACGACTTCTGAGCTGAAGGAATAAAGCAGAGTTGTGTCGACACACAGCAGACAACTTAGCAAAGAGTCGGCTATTAAATTATATTTAGCTATTTTGTTCCTAGCAACCTGTTACAAATAAAAAAGCAGTTCCCATTTCTTTATGTTGAATCGGTTACAAAAATACCAGATACTCCAGATGACACATAAAATAGTATTTTAGGCACCAACAAGGTAATTCTCAAACAGTTATTAGCTGAAAATTGGCCATCCAGCAGATCAGCTGAAATATGCAACAGCTCTGTTCCTGTGTCACATCTTTGACATTTCTCTTTCTTCTTCTTCATTAAAATCTTTCAGATATTAATCTGTTGTAGATACTTTCTTTTAAGGCCTGACCCTTATTTGTAGGGATGCACAATATTGGATTTTTGGCTGATATCTGATATGTTAAAACTTATTTGGCCGATAACATATTTTTTTCCTAAACCTACTAACAGAGACTACATAGCTTTCTCTGCTGTGAATTAAAATACGACATTATTCTGCATGGACTTTGTCAGTTTGGCCTGATATCAAATACAGATGTCAAAAAGGGGGCTGACAATGATGTAACACTTCAACTTGGATTATACCATACCATTTTATTTATAGAGCACTTAAAACAGCAACAAGGCCAACCAAAGTGCTGTACAGACTGAACAAACGGTAACACACAAAGCAAAATACAAAATGAGGTAAATCAGAATATAGACATAAAAACGATGCAGATAATAAATATGACGACAAACCAGTGTGGAGCATACAGGTTCAAAACACAGATCATCTGGTGTTGAAAGCTACAGAATAGTAGTGAGTTTTTAAACGGGACTTGAAAACCGAGAGGGAGGGGGCCTGTCTGACAAGCAGAGGTAACTCATTCCAAAGTCTTGGTCCTGCTACAGAGAAGGCCCTGTCACCTCTGCGCTTAAGACGAGTTCCTGGAACTGTGAGGAGCAACTGGTCTGCTGACCTCAGGGATTATGTTTAATGTCAAATTTATTCATTACATTTACTCCCTCTAATACGACAACACTCAAACAGTGCAAGTTTGTAAATTTTCACAAATCTAAACTCAACGGCGCGCGTGACGTCATAACGTTGTGCTGGCGCTGCAGGCATCTTTGTCACTTGGTTGTAATATAAAAACAGCGCCTTCATATATATATATATATATATATATATATATATATATCCAATATTTAAGTTTATCGCTAAGTTTAAGGTTATTGCTAATATCGTCCGATATCGATATCATACAGATAATATTGTGCATCCCTACTTACATGTATTTGTTCTCCACTTTTCCTCTTTACTTACTTTTTTAGCACTCATTTCACAAACGAGTGGGAAAACAGCCAAAGTCCACAGAAAATAAAACAAAATTAAAAAACCTGAAGAAATAATAACAATTTTAAAAAAGTATGAAAAGACCAAGTTTGTGTGCTTGAAGAGAAAATGTAACAAGCAGTGGTTTAAAACCTTATATTTGTTTTTGATTCAGCATTGTGGTGAACAGGCCAAGTGAACAGTTCACTTCCGTATGAAACACGACCCACTGAATAAAAAGAAAACAGTTCATC